GAATTTTAAAACTTTCAAAAGAACTATAAAAGAAAACAACACTTTAGGAAATCAGGTGAACAAAGGCACATCCATGAGTGAAATCTGTCAAAGATTCTGCTTTGGAGCTTCCTCAGACCAAATTCCAGCACACAGTAATAGGATACAAAGAAAACATTGCCATTTGGGCAGACCTGCTCTTACTCCTAAACTTGCAAACTGAAGGTCCTGCCAGGGAAAAAGTCTGTTCTGCATGGTGGCTTGGTTGTTAAGCACCAGGACTTTGTGTCAGAAAGCTTCCCCCGTTTTTGGGAAAGGAGGATGGTGACTCCTCTAGCTGGGTAGGGTGGGAGCTGTTCTTCCCCTTTGACCCTGAGGTGTTTAAACATTTATTGTCTTAACAAACAGCAACTTACTCGGTATGAATTGAGTAATCAATGCTTGTAATTCCTGCAGATTATCTACTTGCTCACCCATTTCCCTCCAAACTGCCTTTCATTCCTTTGTGAAAGACTCTTTCCATCTGCCCTCGGGCAATAAGAAATAAATAGTCATTAGTATGCTTACAATGTAGTTATGGTACAAATACTGTCTAGACTTAAAAATCCATGAGTTAATTTGCTTCTTACAGACTTGCTTTTGCTCAGTGAAGTAATTGATGTTGTTGGCTTTCACTTCAGAGCTTTTTCCAGCTGTGGACGTGGCCATCCCAGTTCTGCACAGTGATCAGAGACCATTTAAATTTCTTATGCAAGAGGCACTGCAGCTAATCAAAATATATAATTTCACCTCTCGTTGTGGGGAGGACTCTCAGTCTGATGCAATCTTGTTTTAGAAGGGATTACTCCGACCTTTGGTACTATTGCTGTATTAATGTAAATACAAAATGCTTAGCCTGACTACAGGGAGCAGCTAGTGCTCGCCATCAGCATGAGATTAAGTGCTTGGAGCATTTTTCTGGGACTAAACTGCTCCACCAGACACTCACTAAGCCTTCCTTAGCGTGCAGACTGTGCAACTGCTTTCTCCAAAATAAGTGGATAGGATTGGTTTGATGGGTTTTTTTCAGAGGAGCAATTAATATAAGGAAAATAATAAGGTAAAGGAAATTATTACCTTCCATGTCAGAATAATATTGTGCCATCTCTTTAGTGGCTGTGATTTTCTACTATAAATAATAATATACAAAATCATCTTTTAATCAGTCCAAGATTTAATGATGCGTGATTAAGTGAGTTGCATTCAGTAGTTGTGCAGAGACAATACTGATGGATCTAAGTGCTTGTATTGCTGTGCCCCTGACAGGAATAACCTGGACAATTCATTATTACACATCACTTCACCTTGTTTGTGTTAGTTCTGTGTGTTGCAGGGATTCTGTAGTGAGTTGAAACACAAGTTTAACTTCTGCTTTTGGCTTTTTTCTTTGTCTCTTAAATCCTTTTATCCCCAGGGTTTGAGGTGCACACATTCAAGGTGCTGCATTTCTTTCATTTGTTGTTTCATTTCTTTCCACCTTTGAGCTCCAGGCGCTGTCTGCGAGCCAACCTTTTCTTAGGGCTAAACTGAGGCCCAACTGACACATTTTGACACAAACTGAGAAATTCTGCTGGTGTTTTCCTCTCTTTGGCCTGGAAGATTGGTCCATGTTTAGGTTTTGGGGTTTGTGTGGGTTTTTGGGCTGTTTAGGGAGAACTCTGCAGTTCCTTCAGGCTGCTTCCCCCCATCTGCACGTGTTCACAGAGACTTTAAAAATTCCATCCCTGCCTCTTACCTTTGACTTCCTTCTGAACCTGCTGTCCAAAAATTCACATCATTCCTTCCTGAGCTCATTTATCCTCTGTCTTCACTGTTCCCTGTGCCAGCAAATCTGACTGACTTGTGAATTCTCAGACTTTCCCATTTTTTGGGTGCTGCCTTTCCAGCGTGGGTGGGAGTGCTCAGTGTCCTGTAGAGCTGGGAGGGTAAAAGGTTCTCTACTGCTCCTGATTTGTTCTCCTTTGGAAACGTGGAAACCTTTTATCCTTGCTAACACAAGGAAATAAATGGCCAGGCATCCTTTAGGTTGCTCCCCTTTTTTTGGGGGGTCTGCTCATCCTTGAGTGTCAGGGGGTTACACACAGGGCTTTTTTTTTTTTTTTTGTTCTGGTGGGTTTTGCTGTTGGGATTTTTTTTTTTCTTCATGTTTTCCTCATTTTCTGTACATGCCTCATATTCCTAACTCGCCATCAGTTATTTATGTATTGGATTTAGTTGGTTGTTCTCTCTTGCTGCAACATTAAGTGGAATAATATTGGAATGGCTGCTCCAGGGAGGCTTTGTCAGTAAGAGCCCTTGCTGCTGAAGGCCAAATGCTGCCTTTCATGTCCATTTTTGAGACCAGTTCTATTAAATGCCTATTTTTCCTGTGGAGTGATGAGCAAATGGAAGGTGAACAAGCCTCTGTCTTTGAGGAGGGCAGGGGACAGGCTGTTCAGGGTGTGCATTTTGAAATGGTTTCAAGGAAATGGCTTTGTGCTGCAAGTAGAATTTATGCTTTCATAAATTAAAACCTTGCAAGAGTTTGAAGAAATTTACATGAATTTCCCTGAAAGTAGAAGGTATTCATGTTGATTCCTTTGCACATTACTGAAGTAGTAAATCTCTAATAAAAGGGTTTATGGGAGGAAATGCAGATATTTTATTATAGTCTATATATATATGTTCCCTATTCTGTCATCTTTTGAAATTTGTCTTGCAGAACAACAACTGCATAAATTATTTGAGCAGAAACTTGTACATTTGTCTGGGCTAGGGGGAGAAAAAAGTGAACAGAATTGCACATTCTCCAATATTTTTTTGTTAATTGAGTGTGAGTGTAGAAGTTAATTATGGGAAGCACAGCTTTAGGATGCAGCCTTGCTTGGGTAGAGTTCCTCCCTGCTTTAAAGCCAGGATGTTCCAAATTGGGCCTTTCTGAACTCAGTTTTATACAAAAGTGTCACTGAAAACACTTTCCATCCATCTTAATCACAAAGTTCAACAGTTATTTCTCATTGCTTGCTGACTTTCTTGGCACTTTTGCATTCCAGACAAAAATAAACTTTTACTCTTGCTACATGGTCATGCATTTAAGTATTTTCAAATTGCTGCAAGCAGTTAAACCCCGTGTTATGTTGCCTATTTACTTTCCAGCTGCTATTCTTTTATGAACAGAATGACCATTTGCATCCTCCTCATTTATTTTTTTCAGTTCCAGCATTTTCCTTCAGTGCTGTTTGTCCCTCTCTGCATCTCCACAACAGTTCATAAAAATATTACAGTAATTCAAGTTCTTCAGCTCAAGCAAAAATGTGTGCTTTGATCATAATATCAAACGATTAAACTAATGCAACCAGAACCTAAAAGCTTTGATAATTTGTGTTATTCAGAGTGCTTTAGTGGTTGATTTCAAGGTTAACGCTCAAATGTGAATTTAAAAGCTACAAGGATTCTCTGGCCAATATAGATTCCCACCCCAGTTGAATTAAGCTTAAAAAACTTCCACTATAATTCTAGGATTACATGATTAGTAGTTCCTTTGGTACCCAGTATAAAATGGATAAAATTGAAAATAAAATCAAGATAATAGCTGCTATAAAGGCAGCTCTGTTGGTGCCATATGTATTTGAACACGCTCGTGAAATCAGTGTTATGGCTGATGGGAGTCCTTACTTAGAAAGAAAAGAAAATTGATTTTCTTCTGGAAACAGCTCCCTTATTTACCAGATTTTTATTTCCTATGTGCTGTTTTGCAGGCCATCATGACTCAATTTCCTTCTACTATTTAACCTCATGTAGTCTTCTTTTTTTTTTTTTTTTTTTTTTTTTAATAGCAGGAAAATAGAAAAATAAATGGTTCTTCAGAAAGTACTTAGTGGAACTTTTGGACAAACTGCTTTCCAGAAAAAGATAATGAAAACTCCTTTAAAAAAATGAATTGTTTGCTTTTCTTGGCTGCACTGGGTGTAAGGGGTTGGGGGATTCTCTGCTTTTTCTTGAGAGTTGGGAGGTGAGCAAGGGGAGACAAAGAATGGGAGAGAGGCTTGGGTGGCAAAAGGCAGCTTTGAGTGAAGAGTGAGGGATTGTGAAATTGTTCTGTGTGATAAAATCCAGCCTGACAATTGGGTCTCCTGGATTAGGGCCCAAAAGTCAGAATTTCCAGGTGAGATTGTTTGGGTCCTGCAGCTGGACCAGGAGTTTCCCTGCAGAGGCTCTCAGGTCTCCCCCAGGTCTGGAATTCCTTTGTGATGTGGGGTTGCTTCACCTCCACCATGCTGCTGGAGTTTTTTTGCTCACAGGATGTATCAATTAGGGGTTGTCTAATCCAAATTGGCATCCCAGTGCTTTTCATTAGAATAGCTTGTCACACAGCAAGCAGGAGTTCTTTACATCCCCTTTTTTTTTTTTTAATTAGTGTGCTGTACTCTGGGTCCTTTACTTCCTTTTGATTATCAGCAGCTCTTATTATTCAGACCTACCTTTGCTGTTAACACAGCTCTGGGCCCCAGAAATCAGTGTAACTTCAGTATAAGAAAAAATATTTAATTTTTCCCCCATGTCTATCCTTTAAATCATTCCTGTAACAGAAATGTATGTTAATAAGATCATTCATTTAAACAAGTACATGCATTAAGAAGATGAAATCTCTTTGAACTCTAGTTAGTTTTTAATGTTTGAATTAGATTTAAAAGAATATTAGAAATAATAATATTAGAAATATTGGAATTTTTACCATAAATTTAAATAGAAATGGAATAATTTGAACTAATGGTAGAATTAAGTGGTGACATTTCAATGTTAAATATGATGATCTGGTATATTACAGTAGATATTTCCACTTTATTTTTATGAAGGGTAGGATTTTTTATGAGCTGTAATTCAGAAAAATATGAGTCTACTTAATGGAATCATTCTCTTTCGGACTATTTATACTGACATTGTTTTTCCCTTGTCTGATACCCTTTCTGGAATCACTTTATAAACTCTTTTTTTTCCCTTAGTTTCAGCCCAGACTCTGAAGAGCAACCTTGACTCGATGAACCAGCAGATCCAGCGGCTGGAGAAGGACATTGAGAACTTCCCTAAGACCCAGGATGAGCACGATAAGTTTGTAGAGAAGATGAGCATATCCTTTTGGCACGTCCTCACGGGGGATCTGAGCATTCTCATCCTCTGCTTGAGGACTTGCAGCACTTCAAAATGGGTTTTAAGTCTCTTTTCATGCATTTCTTCTAGAGCAGAGAAAAAGCATCAGTGGATGTGGTGAATGTGAGCAAACAAAGAACTGAGGAGAGCTGAAAGCATCAATAATCAGATTTTCAAGGGGTGCCCAGACAGCTTTCCTGAAAGAATTATTTGCAGTGAGCAGCCATAAACCCAGTATGGGGATTTTTTTTTTTTTTCTGTCTGAAAAGAATTATTGAATCAACTTTAGAAAAATACCAGCAGCAAAATTCATGTATTTATTATTTTAGCTCCAGATGTGTTTTTCGACAGGCAAACTATTAATTTTGTTAATGGTTTTAAGTTACATTTTTAACATTTTAGAGAAATATTTACATTTGTTTTCACTCTGAAATGTTATGTCCCTTAATTTCTGTAGAGAATAGGGACTGTGTGTTCTTTAAGTACTACCAAGTTAAATCTGGGGGGGACTGTAATGTGATATCAGTCTAGCTTGTTTTTGTGTATCCAGCTTTCCTTTTGTTCAAAAGTTTAAAGTAGCAAGTCTACTGAAGATACCAGAAGCTCACAAAAATGCAGCAAAAACTGAAAAAAAACCTTTAAACAAAACAAAACAAAAAAAATTGCCAGGTTTTCACTGTACTCAAATCCCAGCTCTGTGTGGAAATATTGGGAGCATTTGGAGTGTGGTGCCAAGTCCAGGGCATTCTGTGCATTTCCAGATATTCCTGCCACATCTCTCCTCTCTTGCTGCCATGGAAGCGGTGGCAGAACTGGTGGGTTTGGGGTTTTCAGGGGTAGAAGAAGGAGGGGACTGATGTTTAGATCCATTCACAGCTGCTCATCACGTTTGGTAGGTGGATGAAAAGCAGATTTCTCCCCTCTGCTGTGTCTGTGCAAAGTCAGTTTTTTTGCAGGATTTACCATCTGAATGGAGGCAGTGACAGAATTTCACAAGCAGATATTTAACATCTCCTCTGTGTGGATTTAGTTTAACTTTCTGACAAGGCTGCTGGAAAGGAGCTTAAGGGAAACAACTCCTGACTAAGTGGAAAATTGTTTCTTATTCCTTCCATCTTCCCTTGCACCTTGTCTTACATGCAGGGTTCGGGGACTTGCTGCTGGTAATCACTTTTATCAGTTCTGCTGTTAAACAAAGCTCTTTATTATTTCCCTGAGCTTCATTCACATCAGAAAACCTTTCAATATTGCCCTGTAATTGCTCTGTGCCTTGTCACCCCATCAGAGGCTGAATTCTGTCACGTTGGCCCCACTTTTATTCATAAATTAAACCAATTTATGAAATGCACCTTTACCACTGTTTTTTTTCTTGTTAAGTTTGACAGCTCTGCTTTCCAGGTGACAGAAATTGTTGCTCAGTTGTATTTTTGTTTTGCTGCCTGTGTGTGTACTTATAGGCATGATTAGCATCACTCAGATGATTTGGTGAGCAAAAAGAGCCAAGTAGATAATATTTAACATTTTTCTCTCTGCAGCTTATCACCTGAATTTCTTAAAGATGAAAAAGTTAAAAGTTTGGCAGTGTGAAAGAGTAAAAAAAAAAAAAAAAACAACTACTAATGTTTGTTTGTGTTGGCAAAAATAGGAGGAGCCTATGAAATGTTTGAAAGTGAATTATTGCAGTGTCCTGGGCAGCCTGAGCCTTGATTGCAGGTAGATTCTGCCCCCCAGAACTGTGCATGCCTGCCTGCTTTTATCAGCCTGGGGCTGAGATAGAGCTGCAAGGCAGGAGCTGGCTCCACCTGGGCTCTGTGTTTGCACAATGAACAGATGACCTGACAAATGCTGTGCTTCCATTGCAAAAGTCATCTCCCTTCAGAGCCAGTGGTGGAGTTTGTTTCTGCTTATCACTGAATATGTTGAGGTTTTCTACACTCCCCTATTTTTTATTAGATTGAAGAACGATCATGGAGGGTGTAAAAATGACACCCTAGCCTGCAATGTGTATTTCTTTGATTTCCTCAGCTGCCTGAAGATTTGTTGGTGATGGCACATCCTGAGATTAGAAAGTTACAGAATTTCAGGCTGAGCATCTCTCTGAGTGGTTCAGAAAATTTGAGATGTCTCAGTAGAGTTTTAGGATGCAGCAATTATAATATTCAAGGCATAGTTTCTCATTCCTGTCATAAACAAAGCTATTTACCAGGAGTTGTGGATGAGACTTTCTGCAGTGATACTGCTTGGAGTATCAGATTGATGTAGGAGGCCAGTGACAAGAAAAATACCATTCATAATAGGAATTTGTGATAATGAAATTAATAGTCAAAATACAGAATCAAAGTCTGTCAAACATTTTAAGTTATCATAGTTTTTCTAACTTTTTTTAACAAATAAGCTTTTGGTGCTGTGAGTGACAAAAAGGTGAATAGAAATTCTAACTGCATTTTCATCTTGGATTTTTTTTTCTTTGTCAGTTTCCAAGCAAGATAATTTTTTCCCTTCACTTAATCAGTTTTTTATTTAGCACATACAGTTATTCATCTCAGTGCAATGTGGCTGAAGAAAATAAAGGGATTAAAATAGTCCTTCTGTGAATTTCTTGCTATATTAAATAACTTACGTGTGATTCCTGAAACAACTTTTCCATGATCTGATCCGTGACTGGAATTGTATTTTACCTGAAGATCAATTTGCAAATAATTCAGCTTTAAATGGGAGAGGTTTCTTTTATAATTAGCCCTGCTGCATGCAGCACTGGGGAGTCTGATTCAACAGTTTAGAAAAGTAATTACAGACTATTCCAAATCTGGCTTTCAGTCCTTGTTTTATTTCAGTGTTTGTGCCTCTGATTGAGGATCTGTGGAGTGCAGAACTCTGGATTCTGTATTTGCCTTCTGTAGGTGTGTGCACTGATTTCTGTGGTGTTAAAGCATGGGTGCCTAGCTGGGATTGAGAAAGGTGTTCACATTCATGGACTTCAAATGGAAATGTTATTAACAAAGATAAAAAACAACTGAATTGAAAAGCAATTTCAGAGGGAACAAATGGAAAGTTGTACAGAGTTGGCATTAATATTGATTTAGATCTATAAATACATGAATAATAAATATCACTTCTTTCTCCCTTCCAACACACAAACTAAAGTTTATTCCTGTAGAAAACTATTTATTCCTCTAGAAAACAATTTATTCCTCTAGAAAACAATTTATTCCTCTAGAAATAAACAGGAGCTTTGAAAGCTGTTCCAAGGGGCAGCAGGGCACAGATTTGGTCACTGGGTTCATGCTTTTTGTTATCCTGCTGCCTGGACAGGAATAACTTTGGCTGTGTGTGTTTTATAAAATACCTGACATGAATTTATTTCTCCACTGAGCCTTAAATGGAGACGTTGTGTGGCTGTTCTGCTTTTCAGCTGGATCATTTAGCCTAATAAGAGACATTAAAACTTACTGAAATCTTTTGCCTACCAGAGCAATCCATGCTGCCACGTGGGTTTTCTGATTTCATACATGGGAAAAATTCAAAGCTTTTTTCTTTTTTTTAAAGATTGCGAAATTAAGGGAATGATGAATGAAAGAGCAAAAATTACTGCAGATAAAAAAAAAATTCAAAGCACTGTGCATTCATCTTATCATTAAATGGAACAGCAGCAATTTGTGAACTAATTTTAATTTCCAGTAAGGAACACCATTCATTAGAAGAGAATCCTTTTTATGGGATAAAAGAGCTGCCTTCCTGACAGGCATGTATCCTCATTGATGTGCATTTATGCTCCCTGTTCTGTCTAACCACCATTACAGCCTCACAGTGAAATATGAGGGGTTTATTTCCTCACTTGAAGCACTTCAGTTATACAGAAATGATCCTGGGGCTTGGATGCAGTGGGAATGTTCGTGATTTCATGTGCATTAAAATCAGCTGATAATTCTCTTGTAGATTTTTATAAAGTTTTTGTTCTCACTAGCTGCAAAAATGCCATTTGAAAAGAGTTTATTCGCAAGTGCAAGTCTTGACTAAAGGAGAATTATAATTATTTATCCACAGAAAATACTTTTCCTAATTATTGTGTAGGGACAGAAGTCTATCTACCTTCCTTCTTCTGGATGGGGCATGGATTTTATTTAATTTTAAGTTGCTGTTACATCACAGAAGTTATCAGAGTGTTTTCTTAGGGTGTTGAGCATTTGTTTAAATGGATTCCTTCTGCTTACAGTTCAAAAGGAGCTCTAAGGGGCAGGAAGCTGCAGCTGTTTAAGATGAAACAATGATGAACTTGAACCTTTAGGATTTGCTTAATATCAATAAATTATAATGAGCACCCAGCAGTAGGAGGAAATTTCTATTTGGTATTGATTTTCTAAGACTTTGTAATTTTTGCAGTTGTTTGCATTTAAGCGTGAGAAATTATTTCTTAAAACATAAACTTGTGATTAATTTAACTTTCTATTAGCTTCATACAAGAAAACACCTGTTTTTTTGTTAATTAAAATACTAAGTGGAAGAAGAAGACTTTGCAGGGCCTGTTGAAGGCACAGCACAGGAAAGTCACGATTTATTTACTGTTGAATCTAGTTTTATGAGTTTTATGTTTAAATGGAAAACATTTTAAGCAATAATTACAAGCCTTACAATGCTGCTTTGCAGTTAATTTTAGTATATAAATTGTTCAAGTTTCAAGGAACTTGTTGAAGCAGAGCCTGCATTTATTGAAGTGACAGGAATACCATTATTTTTTTGCCCTGCTACAGACTCATGTCAATTTGAATTAATTGGTAATAATCTAATCAAATGTTCTTCAGAATATCCACCTTGCACCACCTCTTCTGCAGGGTTTTATGCAAATTGGTTAAAGGAGCAAAGGAGAAAGGCTCACATGGGTGCTGTACATTAAATTTTGCATCTAGGATGCTCTGTTCCAAGTTCTTGGAGCTCTAAGGCAGCAAAATTTGTGATTTTGAGTATTAGATTTGAGATCCCAGT